TTTAAATGGGCAAGGCACCTGAATAGCCATTGTTTTCAAAGTAGATATACTGATGGCCAACAAGCACACGAAAAGATATTTAACATTCTTAATTATCAAGAAAATGAATGGTAAAACCACCATTATTCATTACTCCAGCCCACCTGCCATAGTTGTTGTCTTAGTCATTTTCTTCATCACTGGGGCATAACACCCAACACCCACAAATCTAAGGAAGAAAGTTTCATTAGGACCGCGAGTGTGTAGATGTCTCAGTTCACAGTTGGCTGGCTCCACGGCAGGGCCACGTGGCAGATGGGCCTGGCGGGGGAGAAGGAGTTTGTTATGTGGCCTTGAGAAGTAAGGAGGAATCCAAGCAGTGGGAAGGATGCATCCCTTCAGGCCCCCAGGGACTCACCTCTTCCTACTAGGCTGTGAACACCTTAGAGAATGCAACTACACACCCACGATCTAGGGTCACACACCCATCATGTAGTAGCTTCTCGAAAGTCCACCTAGGAGTGCATGAGGCTTGCAGGGAACATCTAGGTGTAAGCCTTAATGGGTATACTTTTATTTTAGGTGGAAAATAAGTGTTAGTAAGGACATGGAAAGTTAGCGCATTGCTGGTGGGGATGTAACATGGGGCAAGTGCTGTGGGCATCCGCTGAGAACCAGCGCATTAGACAGAAGCACACATGTAGGACCAAAGAGCACAGCTGTGTTGGTCTGTTTCATTTTGTTTTTTAAGCTAATGAAACCATGTTCTTGCTTAGATCTTTTCACTGACTCTCCATTCTACATCCAGCCAAGGCAAGGACTGTCCCTTCTTTTCCCCCTGCAGCCTCATCCTATGCCACTTTCTCTTCTGGTCCACTTGTCCTAAGTTCACTGTTCTTCTTTTAGTTCCTTGAACATGCCAGAACCTCTTGACAGGCTTCTGCTTGGAACGATTACCCTCACACCCATCCTGTCGAAATCCTTTCTGGACCTTGTTGAGGTCCAGAAAAATCTACATTTGTAATCCCATGGAAAAGTTAATGGGATTCCAATCAGTGAATTCCAGCCTACCACTTCCAGTGCAACCCATGATGAGAATAAAGACACTAAGGCACGTGTGTAGCGGTGGGGAGCCAAGGGGTCCTGAGTCCAGCTACTACAATGGCTAATAGAAACAAAGGCTTCTGCCCAGGGCTGAATTGGGTTTTATTAATTCATGAAGAGGAGAGTGGCTTGGGGGTGAGTGACTGTGAGAGTGGATGGAAGTATGTAAGTGCTGTGAGCTGGGCTAGGTAGGAGGCCTACAGTCACCTCTGCAATAGGCAGAGAAGGATCTGCAGGAAGAGTAATCTGTGTAACACAATTTAGGACAGTATCTAGTGTTTTGGAGTTGGTGTGTTGGCTTTGATGTGTAGTTTTTTATTCCCTGAGAAGTATGAATCTCTAGCCTCAAGGCTCATCTCAGTAGACAGCATGGCTATGATACGGGGAGAAAAACTGGTCTCGGGTGGGTGACCTCCAAACAATATAGGGAGCCTCCAAATGACATAGGGAAAAACGATCTCTGGACCTGACCTGCACGAGTTCGTGTTCTCTAAAACCGAAGAATGAGTTTTAGGAACAAATGGAAGTTATGAGCAGAATATATTTATTGAGAGAAAGAAAGCTCCTGTCTGAGAGAGGGACAGGAGGGGGGCCTGAGTGGGTAGTTCTCCCCAGGAAGTTATCCCTTGCAGGGACTTTTATAGAGGAAAACCATGTGGTGAGGCAGGTCTAAGGTGGTGGAGAAGACATGGGAAGTTGCTTAGTTGGGCATGAGATGGGACAAAACTATGGTCAACCAATGAGATTACAAGCATCATTGCTCAGGTAAAATTGATTAAATCCAGTATCAAATGGGAAAGTGAGTCACGTAGCAAGCAGGCATGAATACAGAACAGGGTCTCTTCCTGTTGGGGGTTGGGCTAGTGACTCATTTGGGCTCTTTCAAGTAGATTGATACTATTTAGGATATCAATCCCTAATGCCCATCCCTAGGGAAGTATGTAGCTGTGCTTCCTCTTTTTGTCTTGGTCTTGAGGCGTGGCCCATATGGGAGTGTCTGTCTCTTCCAAGTTGCAAAGTCACCTTGTCTTCCATCTTGTCTCCTTGAGAGCCGGGCCCTGTCTGACTGCCTCTAATATTTCTAACTCGACTGCCTACAACAGCTGTACAAGGCTTAGCCCACACATATTATTTGGGAGCCGTAGTGGGGGCTTCATTGACTGTCACATTGCTTTACCAAGTACCCATTAGCTTGGCTTTGCTTAAAGCCACTTGAAGGGAGAAGGAGAAGTCCTCGCCAGCTCTGTGCATATCAGTTCACAGAAGTAGGGCCAGGGTTAGCCAAATGGACAAGATTGCTCTTTTTTCAAGGAGATTCTTCCAGGTGGTCCTCCATGCCTCCATTTGCAACTTGTCTATTTTTGATCTTGTCTGAGTTTCTTTGTGCACTACCTTATCTTTGCAGATCCTTCTCTGTTACTTTTTGTGTTAAGGACCAGGCTTTGTTGGTCTTCTCCAGATTTGCTCATGTGCCTGTGTTGGGCTGGTGCATTGGCTGAAGCACTTACCTGAGACAGTGTCTGTCCCATGGTGGTTTTCTCTTGGCCATGTGATGTGTGGGCCATCGGTCTCATTACCCAGCAGGTGGGCTTAAGCTGGTTCCATGGTCCGTGGCAACATTTCAGGGAGTCTCTTGAGGTTTGTACTTGGCATGAAGTCATTTCTGATGTGTGCCTCTGGCCTAACCAAGTCATAGGGCCAGCCCCAGATTCCAAGACATGCAAACAGTCCTCTGGCTGTGTGGGTCTACAAGGCAGCTCAAGGTATACTCACATGAGAGAATCAGCTGAGTATTTATGATTTTTCTGCCACATGCTGTCTACCTGAAACATCTCCATTTCTGTAGCACACATGGTTTGAAAGAATGTGCAGGGCAGGTTTCAAGGTAAGGGACCTCTGCAGTTCCCCAGGGCAAGCACTTGGAAGGCTCTGGGATTGCTTTAATGGCCTATTGTTGCCACCTTCAAGTTTTTCATAAGATTTGTAGAAGAGACTCCACGATTATGCAACTAAGTATAGCCGGGATCAAACCTGGCTCCTTGTGCTTGCCAGGCAGGTGCTTAGGCTGCTGAGCTACCTGTTTTGTTTATGAAATTTTTACTAATACATATTTGCAGTACATAATGATTGCAAAGATACAGAACACATCTGAAATTTTCTGTGCCTCCCCCACCTTGCTACTTGAAAATATGTTAAGTCAACATGCATTCAGCATGCCTAACCTAACCGACATCATAACTCATCCTCCCAGGGCACTGTCAGATAGCATCAGTTGTTTCTTCTTGTGATCATGCACTGGAAGTGCTAGGTCATTGCCGTTACTCAGGATCCCAGACAAATCTCATCAATCTAAAATGAGTGACAGAGAGACCCGCTTTCCAAAGTAAAGATTTTATTCACGAATGACCAAGGATTGCAGCCTGGGACCTAGGAGTCAGAGCAGAGTGTGCACACAGCCAGGGAGGCTGAGAGAGAGAATGGTTTTATAAAGATGGCATGACAAAAGGTGCAGACATTGGTTAGCAACAGGTGTCTCTGGGAGACAGGATCAAGCATAGCTCCAGGGTTGGACAGGCACCTGTGGAGGAGACATCCTCCTTGAAATGATAGTTGATGTTCTTAGGCAAATGTGTGTGGGAAACACTCCACCTCTGCACCCTTAATGGCCTTCCAAGTCCATTTTGTCAGCGCTTAATATAACTGAGCTCGTTTTGATTCTGACAGCATTCATAGTATTGTGCCACCTATCAATACCTGCAAAAGATCAAAATGTGAAGGATGGTTTCTGCTGAGTGCATACTTGGTTTGCACTGTGGTAAGACAGAAAAATCATTAAATGGAATCACTGCAAGCGAGGGTGATTCTCAAATGACTGACAGAGCCAGGGCTGTGGCTTAGCTGTGCAGTACCTGCATGGCAGGTGCAAGGTCCTGAGTTTGATTCCTAGTGTCAACCCCCCTCAAAAAAAGATATGAAAACAAAACAAAACACCAAAGTCAAATGACTGCACTAGCTATCAGTCATCTTCTCAGCCGAGTGGCCAAGAGTGGACACCACATGTCCCCATGCCTTTCTTTTTCACTTGTTTCCTGCGCCGTTCGCATTTCCCACTGTGCTGTAGGAGCAGACCCACCTGTAAGGGCTTCTGATTTCACTGCCAGGATGTGACTAAGAGAGACAGCAGCCCACCCTCTTGACATGGGGGGAGTGAAACTCTCAACCTGAGAGATCCCTGGGAGGAGTTCATGTTCTGCAAAACCCAAGAATGACTTTTAGGAACAATGGAGAATTAAGAGCAGAATATATTTATTGAAGGAAAGAAAACTGCTGTCTGAGAGGGACAGAAGGGGACCCAAGTGGGTTGCCCAGGAATAGATCTTTTCCACGCAGGGATTTTTATAGAGTAAAACCACGTGCCGAGGTGGGTGTAAGGTGGAGATCATGGGAACTTGCTAGGTGGGCATGAGGTGGGACAAAACTGTGGCCAACCAATACGATTATAAACACAATTGCTCAGGTAAAATTGGTTAAACCCAGGACTGAATGGGGAAGTGAGCCAGGTAATAAGCAGGTATGAATAGAGCAGTGGCGCATCCTGCAGGGGGGTGGGCTAGTGATGCTTCCCAGCTTCCTCAGGGCGATTACCAACCCCGGATGCTCATCTTTAGGAAAGTAAGTGTTTGTTTCATCTGTTGTCTTCCGGTCCGGCCCACGGGAGAGTGCTTGTCTCTGTCACAGTTGTGAGGTGTCTGGCCTTCCACACGGGCTCCTTCTAAGGGCCCAGCCCTGTCTGACTTCCTGTAATATTTCTGTGTGACTCAGCTGCCTATAACACTGTCATTTATTCCCACTCAGTGGGTGTGGGACCCTGTAGATACAAGGAGTCTTGAGGTTAGGACCACAGATGTCTGATACAGGCAGAAAACAAAGGCTTTTCAGAGTTTGACAAATCACATTGCTGCAGAGGTGGTTTCTGAGGATGTGAGGCAAGAACCCAAACTGCCTGATGCGTCCCGTGTTCTAGACTTTGACCCTACCTGCATTATGGAAGTTACTTAAGCTTCTCCTTCAGAGAATCCTTCTGCAGGGATAGGGAGCCTTTTAGAGTTTGCAGTGGTAGAATGTGCGGCAGGTTCTCCACCACCATCCTCATGGGTTGCAATTATGATTCCCATTGCCTAGGTCTCTCTGTGGGCCTTGAAGAGATTAAGGGGCTGGCTGACCTCCCATGGTCTGTAAGACATGGACAGGGGACTTAACCTAGGCCTTTTGAAGTTCAAAACCTTTGATCGCTCATCCAGGAAATATTTACTAATTGCTCCCTGGGTGTTACCACAGATACTGTGGTGCTTAATTACCCATTTCCCATGCAGGAGAAGGGACACAGCATCATTGCTTGGTGTGTGGGGTGTTCTAGTCTAGAGGGAGAGGTGGGCCCAGTGTGAAGCACCAGAAGGAGGAGACAGTGTTTCCACCCAGCGCCACCCCTAGGGCCGGGTGCTTTTCTTCTTGCTTTCTGGTTGGAGTAGTGTATTGGTCAGGGTTTTTACTTAGAGGAACAGATATAAGGAACATATATTAACACAAGATATACAATGTACAAGGAATTACAAGATTGGCTTATGATAACCAGCCAGAGAGTCAGATGGGGGAGTGTGGAAAGGGCAGTTGCACACCCCAGACTGAGGAATTCAGTCCCAAGGGCTGAAGCTCACTGCTGTGCTCCATGCAAGTTTCTATTCGTCAGCTGATGGGTCTGTGAGGGAAGACTGAAGAGTCTGCAATGGATGCTGAAGTGTCTGCGACAGAAGGTGAAGGATCCAAGCCGGAGGTGTCAGGTGATGAAGTCAAAGCCAAGTGCGAAGACTGAAGCTCCTCCCACGAAGTGGAAGATAGACTACTTCCTCAGCCCCTTTATATGGTCTCTTTGTGCTGAGTCACTCTGGGGGCAGAACCAATTGTGCCCCAGGGCAGGACCCCCACCAGCCCAAGTGCACTGCGGAGTTGACACAATGTATCAACCACTACAAGCAGCCTACCTGCAGGACTCCTTCCTTGAAAGGCACTCATGCAGAAGTTCTGAGGACTCCACTCCTCAGAATCCTGGGTGCCAGAACTGCCATAGCTGGGGTAGGGGAAATACATCACTGTCTGGGCTGGTGAGATGGCTCAGTGGTCTAAAGCACCTACTTAGAACAAGCTTAGCAAAGCACAGGGGACCGCGGTTCAATCCCCCAGCACCACATGCCAGCCAGCCCTGCCCCCTGGTGGGCTGAGCTGGCCACACACACACAAAATAAATAAATAAATAAAATAAAAAAAAATACATCACTGTCTCATTATAAAAATTACCCTTTGATTAATTCAAAGCTGCACAAAGCTCTGTGAGAAAGAGGCTACCGTTTCTCAGGTGAGAGTGAGCACATCTTAAGTCTTCATAATTCTTCTCCAAAACCACTTCTGGATCCAAGAACCACATCTGCCTTATTGCTGCAGAGCTAGAAATGCTTCTGATGTGCTTTCAGGTTAAAATGACATGATTCTCTATTTTAAATATTAGCATGTGGCTTCCTAGGTAGAGTAGAAGCAAAAGCTTCTTGCTTGTCAGACTTAATTTCTGGGTCCTGGTGGATCCTTATGGGTAGGCATATCCTGCCCTAAAAGTGCTGTTGGTTAAAGATCAGAGGAGGACAGCCATCTAGGTGCCCCCCACGTGAGCCTCTAACGTTAAGTAACCTGGCCCGCAGTGACAAGGCTTATCAGAGGCTTCTGATCATTGTAAGAGAATTGCCTGTCACTCAGTTTCCTTTTGGGGCGCTCTAAGATGATGGTGTGATCCTCCTGCTCTGTGATCCAGAGCCTGGGTGAGCCGCAGTGAGAAAGAGGAAGCTTCCAGAAGCTGAGGTTCCCAGGCAGACGAAGGTTCAGGCAGGCCCAGGGACAGCGTGAAGTTCCAAGCTCTCTCTACCCCCTTCTGCCTCTGGGTCTCTCTTCCTGATAGATATGGGTCTGTGTCATGTGTCCTTTCTTTCACCTGGACATTGCTGTCTCTAACAGCTGAGCCGGCTTTACGAAGTGAATTTGATTACGACTTTTTTTTTTTTTTTTAATGCCACAGCTGTTTTTTTTTTTTTTTTTTTTTTTTTTAACCTCAGCTGCTTCGCATAATCCCACAGATGCTAAACATATGTTTATAGGCACAGAGAAAGAAGCTATGTTCCATTCTTCCCATCTTTAATTCTTGTTTTTCCTTTCATGCAGAAAGTCAGAGTCGCAGAGCTGAGAAATCGTATACATTTGCAGATTAATATTTCTGTGCATTAACACAGAAACAGCAGGGTGGCTAATGGTATGCTAATGAGCTGACAGTTTTTATTGATCATAATGAGAGCCGACAAGTGTCTTTCTTGGCTTTTATGCAAGCTGGAATATTTTATTAACTGTCTTCAGGGCAGAAATACATATGATTGGTTGCATTTTGAAATCCTTCCTTGTGAGTTTCCCGAGTCTTACTTTTTGTTAGGCAGCCGCCAAAGATTGAGCTCCTGCCAGTTTGTAAACTGAACACATCTCCATCTAGGCATTTACATGCCTGGCAGGAAACTCTCACCCCTTTTCGCTTTGCCTTTCAAAGCAATTTGTTTCAGTGTTTTAGCACACAAAAAAAACCCAGAACCATTTTCTTCAGTGTAAACAGAGATCTGCAGGGAAAAGAGAAATGCTGAAAAAGAATTAGCATTTGTTTGGTAGTAAAGCAGCCTCGTTTGTATTAGAAAGCTCTGGGTGTGGAGGAAACTGGGGACCTGAGTTCTCCTGTACAGGAGAGGATGCAAATGACACTGTTTTCTTTCTTTCTTTCTTTCTTTCTTTCTTTCTTTCTTTCTTTCTTTCTTTCTTTCTTTCTTTCTTTCTTTTTTTTTCTTCATCTTCCTATATTTATTCCTGCAAAAGGAGAAAGTTCTAGGAATAACAGAAATAATGGACATGATTTCCTCAAATATCAGAGAGCCATAATGTGCACCCTCTGAGCATTTCTGTTCTCGTGAGTTCTGAGCTGCCTGCAAGTGGGAGAGGGTGGCAGTGGGAAGATTAAATAGAATTGGGTGCTAAGAGTAAAGTTTATTAATTTGTGCTTTGGCTCTTTGATATTTATTTAGACATCCAGATCCGATGAGGGTTAGCATTGTGCAAGTGGTGAGGAAGTGATCGTTCAGCCAATTAATAGCATAAATAAGGTTGCAGAAGGGAATATTAACACCTAAAAACACCCCTGTTTTCCAGCACTGAAAAGCTGTTTGAGCAGACTGTTAACATCTAATAAAAGTAATTTGTTTTATACATTTGATTAGTAGCTATCTACTCAGGCAATTAAATAGAATCACATTTTGCTAATAGGATCTCTTTGTAGCAGTACCTTGCTCGTTCATGTAACTACAGGTCTCTGTCAAATAGTATGTTTTGATGTGCAGCATTTTCCAGGGAGAACCACTGGTTTTGGCTTTGGGAGGCCTGTAGTGCATGGAGTTGGATTCAGGGGATCTTTAGGAGAGCTGCTGGGACTGTCAGAGCCCTCCAGTTATCATAGGTGAAGTGACCAGATGGCTTGGCTCTTGATCTGCAGTTCCTTTGTCTGTCTGTCCGCCTGCCTGCCTGCCTGCCTTCCTTTTTTTTTTTTTTTTTTTTTTTTTTTCAGTACTAGGGATCAAACTCAGGACCTTGCAGTGCTAGACAGGCACTTAGGCCACTAAGCTATCTCCAGGGCAAGATCAGTAGTTCTTGCTTAGAGGATCAGAGTCCCTTCCTGTCTCCTCCCAACCTCTTTGAACATTCTGATTACCTATCTTTACCACCCTATGAGATTCTAACAGTTCTCAAAATTGTGTGATTCTCAGTTTTGAAGATCTTGTTCTCTTTCTTTTTTTAAAAAAAATGTGTTTAGTACAGGGTCTCTCTACATAGACTGGACTCTTCATGATTCTCCTGTTTGCAGCCTCCCAGGCACTGAAATTACAGATGTGCCCCACTTGCCCAGCCCAGTCTCAGTCTTCATCTCAGCTTGCTCTGAGGGTGGGGCCAGCATAGCATGCTGGGGATCGAACCCGAGTCGCTGCGCTCTTCCTAAGCTCCTGCTTTAGTCCACTGAGCTATCTGGCTGGCCCAGGATCTTGTTTTCTGGACACGGGGATGGAACTCAGAACCTTCGCATGGAGTAAAACCCAGCACTTTCTATTTTTTGTTTTGAGACGGGGTCTCCTGGAGTCACTAAATTGCTTAGGCTGGATTTGAACTTGTAGTCCTCTTGATACACCCTCCCAAAGAGCTGGGATTATAAGCATAAGCTACTCTGCCCTGGTAATCTCTAGAAATTTGATAATGTTGAAATAGTTGCTGTGCCGTGGTGTGAAATCTATTAAAAGAACAACAGAGAGTCATATTGAGATGGTCCTCACGGCACTGATAGCTAGTAATTCAGTTGGCTTCCATTCAAGTCCAAATCAGGGAGACTTGACTATTTACAGGTAGGCACAGGATTCTCTGTCTCTCTCCTCTCCTCTCCTCTCCTCTCCTCTCCT